AAGCAAAGTTATCGATGTACCATCGTGACTCAGGCCCGCCCTTCTATTCACAATATGCAATAGTCCTTACACTTTTTACTCCAACTGTCCTTAGAATATGCCCATTTCATTTGTCTCTTCGCCCTCATTCCGAAAATACCCATATTTGCCATGCTACTGCAACTCCTTGCAATAGAGGCACAGCAGGAGCGCAAAACGAGTCCGTCGCACTTTTTCCCATAACTCATGAAGGCGGGCTCCTGGGCCCCCCTTCCGACCCCTCGTTGAAGAGGTCTTGCCAAGACCTATAGAAAACTTAAGTAAAAATTCAGTCGGTCGACCCCTTTTTTCAAGATCCTGATGTGACTAATAGACGAAGTCAGGCTCCTGGACCCCCCTTTTCCCACCCCTCGTTGAATAGGTCTTGCTGAGACCAATCGAAATCTGCAATAAATTTTTTTAGTCGGTCGACCCCTTTTTTTTAAGATCCTGATGTGATAATAGACGAAGTCGGGCTCCTGGACCCCCCTTTTTGACCCCCCGTTAAAAGGTCTTGCTGAGACCAATCGAAATCTGCAATAAATTTTTTTAGTCGGTCGACCCCCTTTTTTTAAAGGTCCTGATCTGGCCAACTTGTAAAAGCGGCCGATGGGATCGGGACCAGGTCCATTCATCTTGTCTCGTCGCCCCGATTCCAAAAATACCCCTATGTGCCCTGCTAGCACCAATAATGGCGGAAATCCCCCTCCCGCTCATGTAAACCTGATGCACCTGCAGCAGCCCTTGTGCGACCCGGACGGGATTTGCACCACCGGATTTTTTTTGGAGGGTACTCCTGAAGTACCCTCAAATCTGGTTACTCTAGCTCAACTCCTTCCTTGTACACAGACGCAAAACAACAACAAAAACAACAACAACAACAACAACAACAACAAACAGACACAAAGGCAAATGCATAGGCCCCCCCCCTTTTTTTTGAATAGAAGGGCGGGCCAAAAACCAAAAACAAGTTAAGCTAGGATGGTAGAATTTCGCGTGTGCCGAGCAAGGACTACCTAATAAGCCTGCAAAACTCAGCCGGATGGCCGAGCCGTTCAGGGGAGTAGTGTACACACACACAGACACACAGACAGACAGACAGACAGGAAAAATTTTTCAACCCCACTGGAGTAACAGGCTTCGCTATCGCTCAGCCAATTACATGCATTAAAGCTGGGTTCTGATTTTACCTCGGAATGGGGATCCCTTTCCCTCGCGAAACTCACCCAAAGTCCGTTCTGCATCAAGTGTGAGGACCCCCGGCAGGTGGAACCAGCACGACCCGCAATTTTGAGAACCGTTTGGTTGACAAAAAAGTCATAAAAGCTAAATCGTTCCTCGTCGAAGATGAGGCCCAGCGTTCGCAATGATAACGCTCTTCTAATGTCATCTTCTTCGAAAAATCTGCGTCAGAAGCTGAAAGAAAGAAAATTTTTGCTTATTTGAACGACAAAAAGCAGAAATCTCGAGAACAAGACGTCGGATCGAGACGAGAGATGTTTTAAAGGGTAGGAAATTAAATTTGAGGGATACCGTACGCTTTGATGACCTATCTAGGACCCGTCCTTCTTGGTGAAAAATCAATCCGCGTCCCTGGGTGACAAATTTTCTGCCGTTTTTGAACGACAAAAGGCCTAAAACTCAGGAATGGAATGTCGGATCAGGGGGAGGGATAGCTCAAAAAATAGGAAAATTTAAATTTTAAAGGGGTACCGCACGCTTTTGGGGACCTATCTAGGACGTGTGAAAGTTCGTCGGCGTCCCTGGGCGGGGGGGAATCGCACCTCACATGCGCAAAACCCGGCCTTATGGGAGATGGGTTTTTCGTTATTTTGAAGGGAAAGGGGGGAGATATTGTCTCATTTAAGAATTTCGCTCCCAATTGTCGAAGAGAGGAACGAATGGTGTTTGAACAAAGAAAATCGGTCAGGCGGTTCGGGCTGTTAGTCGCTTTTTTTAAAAAGGCATGTTTATTGAAAAATTAAATTTTTTAATGGTAGACGCTTTTTTGGTAACACAATGAGCCGCCCCCGCTGCACAGGGGTGAGATCCGTAAAAACGACATTTAATACCATTTTTTCAAAATCATTTTTTGGATTGGCTGTGTGTGAGTTAATGTTCAGAAAGGTCCACTCTTGAAAAAAATGGACATGCCAGCCCAAAAACCTAGCCGTATCACAGTGAAAACTACCCGTGAAAATTTGGTTTTTTACGGTTACCGAGCTAGTGCCGCGCGGAGCACAAAAATTGCACAGTCCCCAAACCCCTTTCCGACCACCAGGGAAAATTTTTTTATCCCGGTTTCGGCAGAATCTATTGTTTGGGTACAACTCGAGATGAAGACAGAATGTGGACTCATTTTTGGGCCCTTGGTGGCGTGAGAAGACACATATTCATAAATTTTGGTAAATATGCGAATTTTATTATTCCCAATATTCAATTTTAGTTTCAAAGCGACTCCTTCGGGCCCGAAAGAGATCTATACGCCAAAATGTTCCTTGGACCTTCCTCTACAAGATCCAAAATTTTATCAAAGGCTCATCGAGGCTCCTCTCGGATTGCGACGCGTCGAAAGCTAGCTCTGTTCGTCATTTCGCCGCGCCGCGCAACGACAGGGGCGCTGTTGACGCTGCTGCTTGCGCGCGCCACTGCCACCGCGTCGCCGCAAAAAAACAGGAAGTAACGCGCGCATATCTCTGCAAGTTTCTAGGGTATAAGATTTGCATGCAGTGACTGGACTGGACACTGGACAGGTATGTTTGAGTGTTTACGTGAGACAATCCGTGCGTACTCGCTCTGCCATCGCATCAGACAAGTTTTATTAGACAAGTTTAAACTTTCTGCAGTGCTGTGGTTGAGTTTTTCTTGGTGCTGTGGTTGAGTTTTTCTTGGTGTGTCTAGCGATGGCATGTGTAACCCCCTGTAAACACCCAAAAGTTTGTCTGAAAACGGCAAAAAAAGGGTTTGAAAACACGAAGTTAGAAACACGGACTTTTTAAAAAAATTTCAGGCTGTTACGGTTGTTACGGATATTAGCATGTTACGCAGGGTTTTGGGGGGAGGGTGGAGACTTGTGGGGGTTCTATTAGCCTTGCACTTCCTGTTCGACAAATTTTTCATAGGATGTTACGTTTTGTAGGGTAGCTAGGACATGACCCAAGTTTCTCGCCGGGGCTGTACCAAATTACTTTTTTGTTTTTTTTTACTGTTTTTTTGATTTTATTTTTTTTTATTTTTTTTCCTTTCGATGAACTTATTTTTACTTGTCCTGGCTACCAAGTTGATAATGTGGTGTTAAAATAAATTTATGAACACTTTTTGGTCTTATTTGATGAAAAACCGTCCTCTGAAAATTTAGACACATAGTCAGATCGATAGAGCGGCTCAAGACGAATCGATTGGTACTAGTTTGACTGCTGTAGCACAATCCGTTCGGCCACAGTCGAATTAAATGTCAACATTTCGCTCTCCTCAGCCCACTGTGCGCTGTGCCTTTTTATCGCCTCATCAGTCGTCAGTCAGTCATCTTCCGGTTTGGGGTATTTTTATTGACTCGCTTCGCTCGATGGGGGGGCTACGCCCCCCCATACCCCCCCGTTGCGGGCCTTCGCCCGCTGAGTCTTTCTGGTTCGGCAGGCTTCATTGGCTGCTGTGAGGATGCAGCTGTGTATGGGTTGCAGAAAATCTCACGGTGAAAACGGTACCTGTTTTCCCGGAACCCCCTGGGAATCGCCAGTGTGTTTACCATGGGCTTCCTGGGGAAACCAGGTACCGTGTTCACCGTGCTGTTGCATTTTAGTATTTACCGAGCCCTATCAGTTCCTCGAAGGGAGCTTCAAGGACGTGTGCCTTGCTGTTTGCCACTTACAAAATGGAACATTGGTTCCCTCTTGCAAGTGTTGCCCGGTTCCACCACGGGAGGTAGCACAGGACTTTGGAACCATATTTTGTGTTTTTTTTGTTTGTTTTTTCGTTTTTTTTTTCTGTTTTTTTTTTGATATTTTGTTTTTTTTGTTTTGTGCGTTTAGTTGTTTTTTTCTATAATCTAATTAACTATTTAACTACAGCTATGTTTTAAAAATAATGAAAGCTTTTTCTGTGAAAGCTTCATAGTTTATGTACAGCATGCGCTATTTCTCTATCCTAGTATTTGTGAACATGCGTTTTATTCTTATCAAAGTATTTATACTGCTCGCATCGTTTCCTTATCATAGTGATTTAACAGCTTGTATCTATTTTCTTTTTCTAGTATTTATGGAGCAGAAATCTTTTTCCTCATCCTAGTATATTTACAGCATGCAAATTTTTCCTTATACTAAATTATTCAGCTTGTGGGACTTTGTTTCTTATGAACGTTTGTGATAAATACTTTAATCTGTTTCATCCCAGAACAAGATATTTATATGTACATGAAGGTTCTTGCTTGTTACTTAGGTCATTTTTGTCGCAGAGATGCCTTTCTTAGTTACAGGTTTGTTCCCAAGTAAACAACGAAGTGTGTGTGCTAATGTTTCATATGTTGCGTTTTGTCTCAATAAGTATATTTTTTACTGAAGGAGCTCGATGAACAATGTTTTTGGCGTAGGCTATACCGTCATGTACGCGGTCCTCGGGCACCAGGATAACAATATCATCGGGAGAACGGACTCTGCTGAGGCCTACGTAGAGCTGCCCATGAGTGAAGCAGTCAGTCCTTAGGTCAACACCAACTTTTTTGATGGTCTGGCCTTGCGATTTGTGAAAGCTCATGGCATATGCAAGCTGAAGGGGGAACTGCTTTCGGTTAATCATCATTGGGGCCCCGTCAACAATTGGGAATTTGAAAATGATACGGGGAATGGCAAAGGTCTCTCTTCCACCCGCCTTGCGGACCCTTACAATCCGAGGGCTTATAGCCTCAACAACAACTTTAGTGCCATTTACGAGTCCCTGCTCAATATTCAGGTTTCTCGTGATAAAGCACACGGCTCCGATCTTCAGCTTCAGGATGTGTCAGGCACACCTTTTCCACGAGCTTGATGCAACGTTTCCTCGTCCACCTCAAAACCATCGTCAGCCTCCTTGTCAACCTCGTCGTAACTGATCAGTTCGTGAAGCTGTCCTGTCAGTGAAGCCAAGATGATGTCATTTATCACATTTACGTTGTTGTTGAGTGTGGCAAGAATGGCCCTTTCTGCAGCTAAATCAGGGGTGGTAAGAATATCGCCAGGGTATACCTCATCAATCAGTGCCTGAAGCCTTGTCAAGTGCCGCAAGCCTGCAAGTGCAACCCGCTTCTCTTGTTCGCGGCCTTCCCCAAATGTTGTCTCTGGGTGAGACCCATTGCCTACTTGCAAGAGAAATTCAGAGTAGTCGGTCGCATCTCTCGTTCTTTGGGGAACCGTCAACTTAAACACTTTGAAAAGTGGCCATAAGTGGGAGGATCGAAGAGAGACAGCGACAACATCACCAGGGGAGCGTGCCTTTGGTACAACGGGGGCAATTTGACGAAAATCACCAGAGCACAGAAAAATTTTCCCTCCAAATGGAAGATTGTTGCCCATCAGATCTTTAAGGGACCGGTCCAGCATTTCGAAGGCATGCCTGTGCATCATCGCGCTTCGTCAAATACAATGAGTTTTGCTGCTCGCACCAGCTCAGCTCTCTGCGTGCCGTTGCTAATATTCCAAGTGCCCATACCCTCGCCTAGATCGAGTGGCAGGCGGAACATTGCGTGTGCAGTAAGTGCCACCTTCAATGTTGAGGGCGGCTATGCCAGAGCTAGCAACGCAGAGGGCAACTTTCCCCTGAGACCTGATGTATGACATGAGGATCTTGAGAAGCTGTGTCTTCCCATACCCTCCCGGCCCGTCCAGAAAGAGTGCCGTCGGGGTGTCTGCGGGGGCGTTTCCTTCGACCAACGTCTGGATGTAGTGCAAGACGGTGCGCTGCTCCTCAGTCAAGCGCGGTTCCCACTCCTCAACCACCCTTCTCTGTACATCTTCGCTGTAAGCGAGGAACTGCCTGCCCAGTTCTGTGCTGTTGTCTTCGACGACGGGCAGTCCGTGAGCTGCGAGACATGAGCCGTTTCTGCGAAGGGAGCGGTCAATTTGGATGAGACCTAGTTTGTATGCCTTTTCGGGGTCATCAGGATGCCTTTCAAGGTGGTCCTCGCACAGCGTGTCTTTAAAAGAGTCCCACAGGAGGGCAGCGGGGGCGCCGATGTTGGCTAGAACGCAGAAAAATTGCGTAGTTTTGCGGCGATCATGAAGGTGGCCGCTTCCTGCAGGGTTTCAGCGTACTCCTTTCCGTTGCACTATGATCTAGAATCCTGAAAACCGCGGAAAAATTCGGAAAACAAAAGTGCTCTGATTTGGCTTCCGTGTGGCTTAAACTATCCTTGAATGTCCATCTGACAAGAATCAAGTCAAGAAACACATCGGTCGGTCGCCTCCGACTAATGGAAGGCTCCCAGAGTTGACAAATTTGTCAAACTTGACTAGACGTTTGTTGACGTTCTTCGTTGAGGTTCAGTCCGTCCTCGAATTCTCTGGGAAGGCGTGTTTGAACCTCAAACACTATATACCATTTTAAAGGTCTTTTTCAGGCTTTCTTTTGCACTATAGAAGGTTTTTTTGTGTCATTCTTGGATTGATGGCAAAGCCGGAAAACTTCTTTACACAATTTGGCAAATTGGTAAAATTCGAATTTTTGCGAGAGCTGGGATCAAAATGGCTGGGTTTGGCTGGGTTCAGGTGGTCGGTTTCAGTAGTCCGTCACCATAGTTTGATAATCCATCGGCAATGCTGCGACCGCCTGCGACCCCGGGATTTTATAGCCCTCAAATATGGTTTTTTTTAAGCTTTTTTAAGACAAAATGCCATCCGTGCCTGCTTTTCCTCACACATTGACACATACATATATGAAACGAACGGGCTTCGAAAGTGCTATCAAGGACATACATGTATTACTCTTGGTTATTGCCGGAAGTGAACTCAAAATCACCGGAAGTGAACTCAAAATCACAAAAAATAGGCAGAAAAATGCCGAGATTGAGAAACGTGTTACAGAGAATGAACTCAAGGACATCAGAAGTGAGTCTACAGGGTGCAAATGAACATTTTGCACGGATATTTAGTACATTTTGTTTCGTTATATACATTGAATGAAATTCAACTGTTGTTGTACCCGTGTAAAAGTCAAATATTTTATTTAAAAAATTGAATGGCAGAGTAAAGCCGCTTCACCATTGTGTTCCTTCTTTCACACCCCTCCTTCTTTGACAGAGTAAGGTCCCAGACCTCGAAACTAGTGCCAGCAGCACTTAGGGGGGACATCACTCCAAAATGATCAAAAATTGCAACTTTTTTTATTAGTTTATATTATAGACCATTCCTTTCTGCGTCGAATGGCGAAAACCGCATTCTGGAATTCAAAAAATTGCAGTTTTAGTAGATTGTGGGCCGCAAACATGCATAGGGGAAAAGCCTAGTTTCCCCAACTTTGATCGCGTTTTTCTCGGAACATGAAATTGCAAACGGTTGCAGGCCTCTAGGCGCAGTTTTTTAGCTACAGCGGGGAGATTTAGCATGGAAGCTCCTACGACATGCCGCTATGGTGGTTAGCAAAATAATTAGCATAAGTCAATTTTTATCATATTTTAAACGTTTAAAATTGAACATTTGGACCAAAAAAATGAACAATTTTTTTGGTATGTAACAAATACAACTTAAAATGATTTTTTAAATGTGATTGAGGTACCCACTATAACCAGACATATCAGGAAGGCTGTTACCAAATTGCAATGTTCTAGGTCAAACCGTTTGGCGTCCAGCGCTGCAACAGTGCGAAATGGTCTAACCTCACACTCAAAAATGCGTTTTTAACGAAAGCGCTGTACTTCCCTGGCAGATTGACTTTGTGTTGTTTTACACTTTATCTGTTAAAATATGAACATTTTTGTCTTTCCGTTTGATTTTTATGACGTTTTTACAAAAGCACTGTTTTTGGAGTGATGTCCCCCCTTAACTCGACTTCAATTATCTTATGCAGCAATGTTTTAGCAATTTTTAGTCTTTTTAAGCTTTTATACAGTTTTTTTAAAGCACGTATTCATAGCTCAAAACTTATGTCGAATACGGATTTCTCGACCCAAAATACCCACTTAAGGAAGATTTCAAGGCCGTAGGAATTTTTTCCGCGTTTTCGGGATTCTAGATCATAGTGCGTTGTCTGCTAGCCCGAGCCGGCATGCGGCTTCTTGAAACGTTGTACAGTCCTGTCCGGCGCGGGCTAGCAGATCAGCGTAACCTCGGCAAGGTATATTACCGAGCAAAACACTGAGGTAGTAGAGCTCGCCACGATTCGGGCTTACCCAGAACATTCGTGAGACGAGCTCCCCGAGCTGGCGCCGTGTGTAAAAGTGAGTCCCAGTTGTGCTCTCGTGGACAGGAACACTAGTGCAGGCAGGGCGTTTTGTGTGTTCAATGTAATTTTCAAAGAACTGTTGGTAGGTGAGATTTTCAAACTCCGGCTCTGCGGGGCGTGCCATGTACCTCAAAAGCGGCGAATTTGCTCTTTCCAGTGCCTCTGCCTCATTACCAGGCCTGTATGTGACAGACTGCTCCCCCTCGAGGTGAACGGGAAGCATTGTAACCGATGGCTCCGAAACAGTTTGATCGAAGCCAAGAAGGCGCCAGCAGGCGTCACTGGCCCCGATCATTCTCTTGGTTGCGTACTCCTCCGGCTCATCAAGCTGTTGGTCTAAAGGGAGCACGCGAACGTTTGACTTTCAGGCTCCTTTGTGCAAGTATTTAAATAGATACTTTATAACTTTTCAGGTTGAGGCAATTTCCAGATTGATGTGCGCGTTGTACTTCAAAAGCAGAAACGGGTTGTAGGGCACGATCCACCCATCGTGCACCTCCACTGTTCTGTTCCGGTAAAGTGTAGTACATGTATTGTTGTAGTTGCGCTTGTAATTAACAAAGCCGCGATCGTCTATGTAGGTGGTGTCATTGTGCGGTTTCGGAAAATATTTGTTGCATTTGAGATTCTTATCGTCCCAGCAGGGAAGATTGGTGCGATCGTACTGCCTTCCGCAAGGCCCATAGAGCATGTGCCGCAAAACAAGTTCACGGAGTCGGCCACCAGCCTCCTCTGGGCCAGGTATGTCAGCGCGAATGACTTTGTCTATGTCACGGCCCTGCGTAGGGCCGCCGTCAGCCACGCGGACCGCTAGATGAGCGTGAGGAAGCCCGCGAAATTGCATTTCCACCACCTAAATAATATAGGCATGTGGCCCGAAGAGGGCTCCGCTTCGAATGTCCCGCAACAATTCCATGAGTTTTATATGGAAAATTCTGCTACAAGTAGAAGGATCACACAAAGTACCGTGGCGTGTAGACTTTTTAATTTCATCCCATTGCCCGCATGCTGTGAACGTCAAGAAGTAAGTAGGGCCGCCCTTTCTGGAGCACAGGGCCATAGCGTTCATGTACTTTTTTTTCATGAACCTAGGTTAGGGTGGTCCAAAAAAAAGTGAAGTTGCTCGGATCGTCCAACGCCGCCTGGATTTGGATTCTACATAAAAAAATATGAATCGTGTTTTTTCCATTTTTGAAAAAAGGATTTTTAGGAACCACTCCGCAGAGCCTCAAAGTTTTTAACAGCTTCTCATAGGAACAAATCGTAAACTTGTTCATTTTTTTGACCGATTTTCAAAAACGAAACGGGGATTTGTTCGTTTTTGAATGCTTATTACGAAAACAAATATGCCAAACCCGCTTTTTGTTTGCCTAACTTTCGGGGCAAAAAATGACTAAATTTCAGCCCAAATTGGCAATTGTTTCGGATTGTAGGCCGCTTCACCACTCCGAAGTCCACCTGTCAGCATGGCGGGGTGCCCCCCCACCACAAGGCAAGCCCCATGAACAGATTGGGATGCCGGTGCAATTTGCCTACCTCCCAGGGGCATTAAATTGTTGGATTTTTTCGAAAATCTATCAATAGTGATGTCTCTTGGGGCCCCTGGAGACTCAGATGGACACCCTTTTCACACGGTTCGGTACCGACTACGTAAAAAGAACAAACAAAAGAATGGCTGTTGAGCACCTCTTGCTTACCTCTCGGGACCAGAAAAACGTAAAAATTTAGAAAATTCCCCATTTTGATGGTTTTTTGTGGCCTTGCGTGGTTTGCGGCCCCTCGCGTCAGCAACGTCCATAACGTTATATCATTTAGTGTGGGTATCAAACCGTGTAAAGGGTTTTGTCCATTGAGGCCCAGAGGCCCCAAGGACATCACTATTGATAGATTTTCAAAAAAAACCCACAATGTGATCCCCCGGGGAGGTAGGCAAATTGCATCGGCATCCCATTCTGTTCAGGGGGTTCCCTTTGTGGGGGGGGCACCCCCCCATGCTGACAGGGGGATTTTGGAGTGGTGTAGCGGCCTACAAACTGAAACTTTCCCAAATTTGGGCCAAAATTTTAGTCATTTTTTGCCCCGAAAGTAGACAAACCAAAAAGAGGGGGAGGCATATTTTTTTTGGAAAAGCATTCAAAAAAACAAATCCCCCTTTCGTTTTTTA